AAAAAAAAAAAAAAAAAAAAAAAAAACCAGTTCAGTTGATACTGTAATAGTCTGCTAGGGTCACCACTGCCAAATACCAGACTGGGCGACGTCAACAACAGACGCGCACTTCTGAAGTCCCGGAGGCTGAACGTTCAAGGTCCAGCGGCCAGCCAAAGTGGCCCTCAGCAAGAGCGCTCTACCTGGTGCCAGCCAGGCGGCTCTTAGGCAGGGCTCTCTTCCCGGTGCTGCCAGCTTGGCTCAGGGCGGGCTCCCTCCCTGGCCCGCCATCCCCCTCACCGGGAGGAGAGCTCGAGCTGTGGTGTCTCTTCTCACGAGGACGTGACCTTCCAGGACCAGAGCCCTGCCCTCACGGTCTCGCTCCATCTTCGTTACCTCTACAGGCCCAGGCTCCAAACACAGTCGTGCTGGGGGCCGGTGCTTCAACAGTGCATTCTGGAGGGGAGGGCACGAACTTGGCCCACAGCAGATATGGTTTCAGAGTCCAGGTTGGAATGAACTGACAAGAAACTATTTGTTGAATCTTTGTGTACCAGATGAGTATCTACAAGTACTTGAAAAAGTTATTAAAGTGCTCTTTCTTTTCCAATTGCATATCAGTCTGAATTCAGACTGTATTCCTATACCTCAACCAAGAAGAAGTATTCCTGTAGACTAAATGTGCAAGCACATATGAGGATCCAACTTAACATCTTCTTTATGACAGATAAAGATTTGTGGGATTAGTAAACAAGTTTTTCTATTTTTTTTTTGTTTAGGAAAATGTAGCTCTTTTCCAATAATGTTATAATAGGCTTAGTATTTTAATTGAAATAAGTGACTGTTTAAATTTTCATCAGTTAAAGTTTCTAATAGGATAAACAGTAGTAAATTTTAAAAATTTACTTATTTTCATCTTGTCTGAAAGGCAGAGAGACGGAGAAAGATTTTCCATCTTCTGGTTTGCTCCCCAAATGCCTGAAAAACCTCAGAGTTGGGCCAGGCTGAAGCCAGGAGCCCCGAACTCCATCCGGATCCCAGGCATGGGTGTTAGGGAACCAACAGGTTGAGCCATCATCTCCTGTCTCCCACAATTATCAGGAAGCTGGATCAGAAGGGGGCAACTAGGACTCCAACCAAGTGTTCCAATATGGCCTGTGGGTGTCCCAGGTGGCCACTCTGACAATGCCCATCCCCTCAGCAATTTTTCAGTGTAACAGGCCCTGAGACTGAAGAGTTTGATAACTGTTGGTCTAAACCATCTCTCAAAAAACTCAGACACTTGAACTTAACATCAGATGTTTTAACCATTTCATTTTCTCAAAGACTTCTCTCCTAGAACTGTCTGATCTGCTCTATTTGGGGTCAACTGCCTTCTACCCCGTGTGTTACTTGGTGCCCTTGGAAATTTTTTCACCATCTTCCAGGGCAGGTGTTAGCAAATTATGGTCTGTGGGCCAAATCCAGCCTGTCAGCGGTTTTTAAATAAAGTTTTATTGGAACAAAGCCAAGCTCACTCCTTTACAGGACGTCTGTTTTCCTGCTCAGTGGACGAGTTCAGCAGTCACAGCAGAGACCACAGGGCCTATCGAGCTGGAAGTACTGACTATCTGGCCTTTCCCAGGAAGTCAGCTGACCCTTGATCTGGGTGGTTTCTCCACTTCCTTTCTAACTTGCTTCTGGGGTCCCATGACCTCCTCTTTCTTGATTTAGTCCTCATTTTGGTGAAGTGCACCCTCTGGCAGCATCCTGACAAAGGATGGATGATAGGTAGCTTTTTTTTTTTTTTTTTTTTTTTTTGAGACTCTGCATGTCTGCAAATGTCTTTTCCTAATCTCACATTCTATGGGCGGCCTAGCTCACAGAATCTTACCAGGGAGATCATCGTCTCTCAGAAACCAGAAAGCTTTGTTCAATGTGAGCTGACTTCTAGGGGGTCAGTGGGCAAGCCTGAAGTCACTTTGATTTATGACCTCTTGTAGTTGGCTTCCCCCATTTCCTTCTTAGAAACCTATAGGCTTGGGGACTAGCATTCTATCTGGATACTGGTTCATGCCCTGGCTGTTCCACTTCCGATCCAGCTTCCTTCTAATGACCTGGGCAAAGCAGCTGAAGCCGGCCCAAGTGCTTGGGCCCTGCTACCCATGTGGGAGACCTGGATGAAGTTCCTGGCTTTGGCCTGGCCCAGCTCTGGCCATTGTAGACACCTGGGGACTGAACCAGTGGATGGAAGATCTCTCTCTCTCCCTTTTCTCTGTGTAACTGTGCCTTTCAAATAAATAAATCTTTTATTTGTTTAAAAGACTCATTTATTTATTTGAAAGGCAGAGTTACAGAGAGAGAAAAGAAGAGGCAAAGAGAGAGAGAGAGAGAGAGAGAGGTCTTCCATCTGCTGGTTTACTCCCTAACTGGCTGCAATGGCTAGAGCTGTGCTGATGTGAAGCCAGGAGCCAGGAGCTTCTTCCCAGTCTCCCACACGGGTGCAGGGGCCCAAGGACTTGGGCCATCTTCTACTGCTTTCCTAGGCCATCACAGAGAGCTGGATTGGAAGTGAAGCAGCCAGGACTTGAACTGGCACCCATATTAGATGCCGGCACTGTAGGCGGCTGCTTTACCCACTACGCCACAGCGCCAGCCCCATAAATAAATCTTTTAAAAAGATGAACCTGAGAGGCTCTTTTCTGTCCCCAGTGTTGTATAACTTTGTGACGATTTGCCATGAAGAATATGTGTGCCCCACTGTGCTGGGCAGAGGTTCCTGCCATCTGGACAGCCCCGTCCTCCAGGAGGGGAAGTTCCCACCAGTGTTTTACTGACCATTCCTTCCGCCCTGTTTCTCTGCTCCCTGTTTCTGGAATCTCACTGAATAGATGCTGGGTAGCCTGGACTGGTCCTCTACAGTTCTGATCTTTTCTATCGCTCTCTGGGACACTTCGACAAGTTTCTTCTAGCCAGAACCTTGAATCCTCCTCATTTCTTCTCTCCTGTTTTTAATTTCTAAGAGCTCTTTTTTTTCCCCTTTGGAATACTTCTTTAATAAAGTATCAGGGTCCTGTGATATACTCTCTTCAAAAAAGATGTGCTAAGAATATAAACGATAGTTTCTTCTCCCCGTTGAGTGTCTTTTGTCCCAATTTCCTCTTTCTGTTTACTTTGTCTTCCTACTTAAAAAAAAAACAAAAACAACTTTCCTTTATTTGAGGAACACAGAAGATGGGGGTGGGGAGGAGAGCAAGTTTACTGCCCAAATGCCCACAGTGGCTGCAGCAGGGCTGGTGCTCAAACCAGGAGCCAGGAACTCAAGCCAGATCTCCCCACACGGGCGGCGGGACCCCAGCCCCCTGAGCCATCCCCGCTGCCTCCCAGGGTGCGCACTGGCAGGAAGCTGCAGTCAGGAGCAGGGCCGGGTATGGAACCCAGGCACCCTGGTGCGGGGCAGCGGCGACTAACCAAACACCGACCGTCTGCCCGTTTCCAGTTACAGGCTTTCCTCTTAGTTGTCTGTGCACACATCAGAGTGAACACTCAACAAGCCGCTACGTGAAATCCTCCCAAGCTCTGCGTGTGTGGGTGGTGCTCACCCCACGCAAGCTTTCCTGTGGGAGACAAAGCAAGGCTGCTGCTCTCCCAGCTCTTAGGGTTAGCATCTTCAAGTCTGGCTCTTCCCAGGATTCCTCAGAGCAAGATTTTCCTATCTCCTGACCGAAGGGGATGGGCTTGGCTACCAAATCCTGAGGCCGGGTGGAAAGAGCTGGAACGCCTACCCTGCCGTCCACCCACATCCACTGGGGCCCCGCCGTGCCCCCGAGCTCAGACTCCCCTCTGGTCTGTGTGGAGGACACATTTCTGGTCTTCTGCCAAGCTACGGAGGGGCGATCTTTCACAATGAAACTTCGAGTGGGGCCGTCGTCAGCCCGTCCGCGCTCCCCGCGCCCGCGCCCGGCCTTCCCGCGAGCTGGTAGTCGGTTTTTGAGCTTCTTTTGAGGGCTCTGCTCTGTAAACCGGGCTGCTTCTTGGCCTTGCCCGCTGCTGGCTCGGACTCGGCTTTCTCGGCACTGCTAAGTCAGTTACCACTCATCCATCTGCTACCCAGCGTCCAAAGTTTTGTTGCTGTTGTCTCCTCTCCCACTCTCTTTGTCCTTGCGGGTTTATGCCTTTTAAAAAAAAAAACCCTTTACTGTTGTTTTAGTGAGGTTTTGGGAGGGAATGAAAGTAAATGTGGGTATTCGATCCTCCATCTTTATTTGGAACCTCCTGATAATTAAATATCTTTTTTACTTCCATTCAACAGTACAGCATAAACCTTCCCATGTTCTTTCTTCCAGTTTTTGCAACCAGCTTCGGCAGCTGCACGACACTGCATGGAGTGGTCCCGCGGCTTGCTCACTCACAACCCTATTTCGGGATTTTTAGGGATGTTTCTGTTTGGGGAGGGGACTGGCCTTTCTGGGAGTCACTTCCATCTGAGGAGTGACCGCCCGCTGACGCTCTTGCCCGTTCTCCTCTTGGGCTGTGGTTTCAGGCCCTTGTGCCTGACCTCTGGCGTGACCTTGCCAATCCCCCTTCAAACCTCCAGTCACCCTGCACGTTGCCGCCTTTCTCATGACACGTCAGAGGCAACCTGGCCTGCCACGCCCCCCGCGATGGGCCGCTGGATGCCAGCCCCCTGTGTAGGCTCTCCCCACGCCCAAACACCCTCCTCTCACCAGGCCCTGCTCTCCTAACTGCACCTCAGGCTGCCCGGCCTGCTTCTGCCACTACACATTCACCCTCCCCGAAACCCTGGCTCCTTTCCTACTCGGTGTGCCCCTGTACCTGATACAGACGGGAAACAAGCAACGCAAGTACACGGGGCAGTCTTGCCTTCTCGGTGAGGCTGACAGCCCCTCAGAGGCAGGCAGGGGCTCCCACATCTCTTCTCCAGGGTGCCTGCCCGCCACCCCCGCCACCCTACACCATGTTCCCCCAGCCCATTGCCAGCACACGGCGCTGAGCAGAGAAAGCAACATGTAGGTCGTTACCTTGCCCTCTGGGGTCAGGGTCCAGATCACAGAGAAGGTCAGCCTGTCAGTCATGGGGTTGAGGCTGCACAGTTCCTCACACAGCAGCCGCGGAAGCATGGGGACCACCTGCAAACACAACACAGGCCTGTGAGTGCCTCCCTCCAGCCCAGGGCCAGTCTGTGGCCAGCTCGGGCTTCCACAGCAAGGTGGACACGGACGCAGCTCTGGTGTTGAAGACTCCAGAAAGAATTCTGTATCCCATGTTTTTAGCCGAGCCTTTGGAGTCAAATGAGCATGTGAGCTGGGAAAGTGAGAAGAGCTGGCGCTAGTGGGCAAGAGAGCACCCTGGAGCCAAGCAGCAGCTACGCTTACGTCACGCAGACGCTCTGAAGTCAAGAACGACTTGCTTTTTTGGAGGCAACTCCAGTCACACCTCACTGAAAGACGACAGGGCCACATTCTGAGAAACGGATCTGCAGGTGACCTCACTGTTGTGAGAACATCCTAGAACAGACACACGTAAGCCGGGGGCCGTGGGCAATCATGGGACATGCGACCAGTATGTGGCGAGGCTGCCCTTGGCCTAACTCGGCAGGCTGTTTTACCCTCAGCTTGCTTTTTGTAAGTAGGAGGACACAATAAATGATGGTGAAAAGCGTAGTGCAGTTAATACATAAGCCAATAACATAGCTGTTCATTAGCATGCTCAGGTATTTGCACTATACACAATTGGTGTGACACTTTCGTGTGCCTGGGAGGGCAGCAGGGTGTGTTTACCCATCATCGCCATGATGTGACTGCGACAGCAATGCTGTCACTAGGCGGTGGAATTTCCAGCCCATCACAAGCTTATGGGACCACCACTGTGTATGTGCTCGGTCTCTGACAGACGTTGTCTCGCGGCATATTCTATTCCACTTGAACCACACGCTTAAGGACCCTTGAGCTGAATGTATACTCTTCTTAAAAATTTTTTTTAAAGATTTACTTATTTGAAAGGCAGAGTTACGGAGAGAGGGAGGAAGGGAGGGCGAGGGAGGGAGGGAGGGAGGGAGGGAGATCTCTTCTGTCTGTTGGTTTACTTCCCAAATGGCCACAATGATCAGAGCTGGGCCAGGCTGAAGCAAGGAGCCAGGAGCTTCTTCCGGGTCTCCCACGTGGGTGCAGAGGCCCAGGGACGTGGGCCATCCTCCAGGGCTTTCCCAGGTGTATTGGCAGGAAGATGGATCAGAAGTGGAGCAGCCAGGAATTGAACCGGTGTCCATATGGGATGTTGGCACTGCAGATGCTTAACCTGCTGTGCCACAGTGTAGGGCCCTGGACGTATACTCTCGACAGTGAAGCCATTGGCAAATCAGTGCTTTAGTAGGTGAACATACCACAGTTTACAAACTATCACACAGAAACAGGATGAAGATTCAGGAATTCAGGCTTCCTTGATGAACAGTGTGGTCAACAAGTCACCAGCGTTGCAGGGATTTAAGCCTAAAGCATTTCTTCTTGCTGATATTTCTAACCTCACAGACTAACTCAACAGAACATCTTCAATAAAAACTTTGTTTTCAACTTACTTTGAAATGACAACTTACAGTTAACTACCTGTTTCCTCTAAAATCCCAAAGATGAGATGAGAATCTACCTGCCCCGTCTGAAGGTACTGCAAATTCTCTCCCTCTTGTATCTGAGCCTGTGCCTCCTGCCCTATTTCTCGTGGTCAGTGGCATTGCCGTCCACCCCATCTACCAAAGCAGACATCAGCTTGACCACCCACTTCCTCACCACACTTTCTCCAGGGCAGTGCTGGAACTCCCTGGGAGTTAAGTGACACAGGCACAAGGGGCAGCTGTGCCGTAATGGGGGTCAGTTCAGCGAATCAGATTTCCTTACTGTCAAAACCAAAACCAACCCCAGTGGCTTCTTACTCTGGGTGACGTGTCTGCACCTGTCCCGTGCTTCAGGTCAGTGAGCATCTTTGCTATGTAAAAGGAAGTTCTAGAACTCACAGACCCACCTCTAACGTAAAGTTAGAAACTATGGGGCCAGCGCTGTGGTGTAGCAGATAAAGCTGCCACCTGTGATGCCACTGTCCCATATGGGCGTCGGTTTGTGTCCCAGCTGCTCTGCTTCTGATCCAGCTCCTTGCTAACAGCCTGGGAAAAGCATAATATGGCCCAAATGAGGCTGGCGCCATGGCTCAATAGGTTAATCCTCTGCCTGCGGCGCCGGCACACAGAGTTCTAGTCCCAGTCGGGGCGTCAGATTCTGTCCCAGTTACTCCTCTTCCTGTCCAGCTCTCTGCGGTGGCCCGGGGGTGCAGTGGAGGATGGCCCAAGTGCTTGGGCCCTGCACCTGCATGGGAGACCAGGAGGAAGCACCTGGCTCCTGGCTTCGGATCAGTGTGGTGCGCCAGCCACAGCGGCCATTGGGGGGTGGTGGTGAACCAACGGCAAAGGAAGACCTTTCTCTCTCTCTCTCACTGTCCACTCTGCCTGTCAAAAAAAAAAAAAAAAAAAAAAAAAAGACAGAGAGAGAGAGAGATGGCCCAAATGTTTGGGCCTCTGAGAGACCCGGAAGAAGCTCCCAGCTCCTGGATTCAGATCAGCCCAGCTCCGGCCATTGTGGCCATTTGGGAAATGAACCGGTGAATGGAAGACCTCTCTCTGTCTTTCCCTCTTTCTCTCTGTAACTCTGTCTTTCAAATAAATAAATCTTTTTAGAAAATCTTTTTTTTTTTTTAAAGCTGGTAATTATTTGGCATTATTCTAAAGGTTGCCGTATCCTTTACCACCTACGTAGAACCCAGGGCTACTGGAAGCCTTTAGTGACAGCTCTGAGGAAACAGTCGGCTTCGCAGTTCTTATCTTCACTTTTGCAGCGTCAGTCCAGAAGACACTATTTTCTTGGCTAACTTAGTTCACGGCACAGTAAAATGTGATTTGTGCATTAATACTTCCTTACACATGGTAAGGGGTTTACAAAATAATACATCTTCACTTGCATCAACATACTGTACAAAATGGAGAAATGTTAAGTATCACACAGTTGGAAGGTTGAATTACAACAATGTCACATCATTTCAGCCTTTGGACCATGTTCCAGACTAACCCGTAACCCCCGCTCCCATCCGCATGTCAGACCCTAACCCCAGCGGGACCTGGGGATGGAGCCTCTAGCAGGTAGTCCAGGCTGACAGGTGATGAGGGTGAGTGAGGCCCTGACCCGACAGCGCTGGTGCCTTCCTGAGAGGGAGGGAGAGGTCACACACACACTCCCTGTGACCCAGTGGGCCCAGAGCAAGGGCCCTGTGAGGACACAGCCGTACCCAAGCCAGGAAGACAGCGTTCACCAGGAACCGAACTAGCCAGCACCTTGATCCAGCATCCAAGGCTGTGAGAAAACATACTTCTGTTGCTTAAGCCCCGCAGCCTGTGGCACACTGTCCCGGGAGCCTGGCCTGGGCTGGCCGGGGTGTGGGGTGTGTGCCCCTGCAGCCTTCCCCGGGATGCGCAGTCAGATAAGCGCACCAGCTGTGTCTCGGTAGCTGGCTGCTCATGCAGCATGCTTGTTCCAGTACCAGTCCAGGACTCCACACACTTTTTCTTTTCTTTTTTTACAGACACTGTGTCTTGGATTTGTTATAAATTTCTTGTAAGTGTTCAAGGCAGTATTTACTTCAAGTCACAAAGCTGGGCATTTAATAATGTAACATAATTCCCGATTTCATGTGTTAGTGATTGTCAAAAGAAAGCCACTGCTACTTGGGCCTAGGCTGGACCCTGGAATGGAAAGAAAAACATTGATGGAAAAATCGGCGAAAGCCAACTAAGGTGTGGGGTTGCACTCAGTGATGCCTGGTGTCCGGTCCTGGTATTGACACATGGAGCATGGTCCCATGAGAAGCTCACAGCGGGGCCCTCGTGGGCGTTATGCAGGACCTCTCTATACATCAAATTTTCCTGTAAATTTCTAAGGATTCCAAAATAGGAGCTTCTTTCATTAAAAGCCATTGTTTTCATTAATCGCTCTTGTAGTTTAAATACAAAACGCATTTATGCTAATGAAACCTGACTTGTTTTTATTTTTTAGAGTCTGGTATTAAGGTTTTACTTGCACAAAGAGTTTCTCTGCTTCCCACCAGGGTCTAAAGCCCACTGTGCGGATGGGTGCGTGCCCAGCGGCAGCCCGCACAGGAAACAGCAAAGGCTTTGGGTTGGGAGGCGCGGGCTCTGATCCTGGGCTGCCACCAGTTCTGGGAGAATTTGACAACTTCGTACCTCTCTGAGTACTGGTTTTCTTTGTAGTGAAGAGTCAGTTCACCGGCCAGCCCGGAAGGCCAGGTCCTGTGGCACTGGCTCAGCCTGACCCTCAGTCCTGTGTGCGGGCCCTCCCCTCCCACACGGGGGGCCAGCCACACGCACAGGCCTTCCTGCTGCCCACCTGCCCTGGCTGCTGGCCGCTCCAGCTCTTGCAATGCGCTGTTCTCCCCTTATCTGGAACACCTTTCTGGATGTTTCTTCCATGGCAACCTTTTGAACACCCTTTCAGGTTCAGCTCATGGCCATGTGTAAGCCGCTTATCCAGGCTTCGTAGGCAGGGTGTGTGCTGCCTGGGGCACCTCCCTAGGGTTCGGGGCAGTCCCACGCTGTTAGCCATGGACTCCATCCTCCTTGCGACACTTCGGTGACACTGACCCCGCTGTGGCCTCCTCGTGGTTCAGGCGGAGAAACGACGACTCTACTGAAGTGCAGAAACCTCCAGAGCAGAACAAGAACAGGCGCTGCCCCATCCTTCCGTCCGGCACCCGACACACAGCAGACACGTCCACTTGCAGGTGAACACGGCCATCACCCAGGAAATGAATCCCCCTTTGTGTTTTTTTTTTTTCCTGTGTTTATCATCACATGAAACATTTTATGAAGCGTTTAGTAGACTTCTACTTGAATATCTTCACATAGAAATTTTATAGACAAAAAAAAAATTATAGGCAGCTAGATTTTAAATTCAGGGTAAACTGGGGCTGGCGCTGTGGCACAGCAGGTTAAAGCCCCAGCTTGAAGGGCCTGCATCCCATACAGGCCCCAGTTGGAGTTCTGGCTGCTCCCCTTCCGATCCAGCTCTCTGCCATG